TTCTTGACTTTTGAGGATATTGTTAGTTCGATCAGTGCAGTTTTTGAATTTAGCAGGATTATTTGCACAGTCAATCTTTTGCGAGGCACGGGCAATGTCCAGCGTTTCTAAAAGTAGTTCCAGTTTTACAAAACTTTCGATGGTTCCCTCTTCTATGAAAGCTGATAAGAGTTTCGGTACGGTTTTATGCTTCTGTACCAGTTTGCCATCGAAACGAATGAACGAATCGTAGAGGAATTAATCATTCTACCATTATGATTGTGACTCTATGTGGTACTTTTCATCACTACGCTTATCTGCACGTTTTCTGTTGCATCTAAGAGTGATGGGAAAAACAGGCGTAATTAGAAAAATAAAATCACCTTACCACCATGTTAAACAATGAGAGGTTTACTTGGCAATTTGTTAATTGAGAAAATCCCATCATAATAAGGACTCCCCTCCTTGTTTGTCACGGTACTGTACTGTGACGGCATGAGATTTGATTATAAGGCCAAGCACTGCAGCGAGAAGACGAAGATGGAGACGAAACTGACACCAGCTTGCGGCAGCTGATTTTTTTGATTATTGGCTAACAGCCGAATGTTTTCTTTTGTGCTTTTTAGCTTCTGGATGTATTTGGACACAAAACAAATATCCAGCTCGTATTCGATTTCATGGAAACGGATTTGGAGCATCTGGTCAAGGATACGGCGATAATTTTGATGCCCGAACATATCAAAAATATGGTACTTCAGATGCTCCTAGGCCTGGAATATCTTCATTTACATTGGGTGTTGCATCGTGTAAGTCCTTAATTTGTTGCACTGATATTGCTCCGAATATTGGACACAAGCAAATAATAGCCTGGAGATCGATTTTTTGGTTTAAGAGAGAGAGCGAACTTATGGATGGGCAAAATGAATTTTGACGAAATTAAGAATGTACGGATGAGCAGAGCATTTAATATACGGTCAAACGACGCAGTGGATATGAGATCATAGTCCATCTACATGAAAGTTTTTTAGAAAAAAATCATATGCACGTGATTTTCGCTTCTCTCCTTGGATTTTTTCTTTTTCCGCCTTGAAATTTTGCCCAAAATAGCGAATGAATGTAATTTATTTTGCCCTGTTTCCACGCAACCCATAGCAGTAGCTGAATTCTACTTTTATCTGTTCTTGGTTCTAGATATTTTATATATATATATATATATATATATATATATATATATATATATATGTA